GGGACTCCGGCCAACGTGTCGACGTCCGGTGCGAGCGAGTCGCCGCAGGAGCCGAGCAGCACCGTCGACTGGAGCGTGAGTCGCCTCATCAGCTCGCTCTCTGCGCAGATTTAAACAGTTCCTCCAGACGAACACGTTTCTTCTGGTCCAGACACAATAAATGTTCGATCAGGTCAATGACGAGCTCCTCCCACGTAGCGTTGGGGTGATCCACCATCTTTATCATCATCATCCTCACCTCGTGGAGCTACAGACCGAGGAGACTCATATTATTTCTTCCATTTCTGAATAATCGCAGCAGCAGCTTCGCCTCCTCCCCGAGCTTCCTGCTGACTGTCCCATAGTTTATTCCAGCCTCGTGCAGGTGTGCAGCTGATTGGCTGATTGTAATGCGTGTGCACACAGCGAATCCGTGAGAGCCAGGATATGTAGACGTTTAACCTCTAGGTTGATTTTCTGTCTTTTTCCTTTAAATAAAATCCCAGCGTTCATTTCTCTGTGAGCAGATGTGCACATCCGGCAGGGATCGATCTGTTTTCCCCGCCGTAGCGACATGTTCCTCGCCACGAGGAACATGTCGCTGTGCACATCTGTCCTGCTGCGCTAAAGCGTTTGGTTTTCACCCATGAAGCTGCTGTGTTTCTGTCACAGGATAACGCCCAGTACGGCGACCACATCTGGTTTGAGACCAGTGTCTCCGGAGACTTCTGCTATGTTGGAGAGCAGTACTGCATCGCCAAGTCTCTGGTGAGTCCGCCCACCGCCAGGAAAAACGCTTTTCCTCACTGATGACGCCAGTTTGTGTTTACCAAATCATCTTCCTTCTCTCACCCCAACCGTTCGCAGCAGATGGCCCCGCCCCTCTCTGTCGGAGGTTTCTTCCTGTTAAAAGGGAGTTTTTCCTTCCCACTGTCGCCACTGTTGCTCACAGGGGATGATTTTTGGGTTTTGTAGTGTCTACCGTACAATATAAAGCGCATTGAGGCGACTGTATCTGTGACTTGGTGGCTTGCAAAAGTATTGGGCCCCCTTGAACTTTCCAACATTTTGTCACATTACAGCCACAAACATGAATCATTGTTATTGGAATTCCACGTGAAAGACCAACACAAAGTGGTGAACACGAGAGAAGTGGAATGAAAATCATACATGATTCCAAACATTTTTTACAAATAAATAACTGCAAAGTGGGGTGTGCGTAATTATTCAGCCCCCTGAGTCTTTGTAGAACCACCAAATGAAACAAAATGAAACAAAATGAAACAAAATGAAACAAAATGAAACAAAATGAAACAAATTGAAACAAAATGAAACAAATTGAAACAAATTGAAACAAAATGAAACAAATTGAAACAAA